TCGGGCTAACTTACCTTTTATATCACAAAACTCACCAGTGAAGGGATTAAAAAGGGTTACTCGAGGGGGTGTACTAAATTCCGTTAAATCACCTTCCTTAGCTTTACTGGTGAGATCCTTGCTAAGGTGCTAGAAAAGAGAACGCATGCAGTCGCCAGAGAACAGTCTGTTCGCCACATTGTTTAGACGGAAGTTGCCATCTGAGAACAGTAGTTTGCGCGAAGATGGCAGCATCACGACGAACTCTTCACTCCTCACCAGATTCTTGAGGCATCGGGAATATGCCAAATAGGTTTACGTTCGTTTTGTGGATCTCGAAAATTCGTACGGCCCTGTACTTCGAGGGATGCTGAAGGAGTAAGATAAATGATCGACTACTGCAGGTCATGCGATCCTTACTGTTTACGCGAACGGCGCTTAGTATATACCTTCAATTTCGTTCTCCTCAATTATTAGACCCCATCACGATTGTCTTCTCTCGCTTTTCCTGTTCCTCTTGCATATAGATAGGATCTATAAACGTAGCTTGGGCCTCGAGGGTGTCAGCATCGATGGTATCGAAGATCCTTCCCTTTGCCGGCAATCCCACAACCCACTGGAAAAGATATCTATCTCACGACATACGCATTGTCTCATGTCGGTCCGCCCAGCCTATGGCCTAGAAAGGCATAGGCTAATAGGCTTCTCGCGTCGGACTGCGTTAAAATTCTGGGACAGATAGGCAGGCATGAAACTAGTTGCGTACAGATTGAGTACCTTGAGGTCAGGATCTTCTTCTCGAGTGATGGGCGATACGGAAATAAGGTGGTCAGCAGCATCCAGGGCTAGCAAGAATTCTTTGCTGATAAATCTGAAATTTCCCTTGAAGGCGAAACTTTCTGTTTTCGAGACAGTTTACCTCCCCATCACGAATTGCAGGGTTTGACCGAACGAATTAGGCCCGGATACAAACAGCCGAAATGAGGTTCTTACGGCGAGTGACCGTAGCAACGCTTCGCGAAGGGATGAAGAATGCCGCAGTTCGTGAGACCCCCAGATCTCGGAGCTAGGCATTCGGATCGAGATATCCCAATTCCGTTGGTTTGGAACTCTCGCCCTTCAAAATGAATCTTTCATTCTAAAATGACCGGCAGAAGAGTAGTCGGTGAGTCTCGTACAAGGTGGGCGGACTACTTTGCGAACCTCTGCCAATAGAGGCTCAGATCTGTCGAGCTCGAGGCCGTTCCCGAGGACCGAGAACACTAGAAAATGCTCCTGGGCCTGCTCGAACCGCGAACCTAATTAGTTGGAATGGAATCAACAGTTTCGTATATGTGTGTGTACGTATGAGAGGTCATTTCTCTTGTGTAACAATGTAGGCCCAGGAAACCTTACCCCTTTTCGTGACACGCGACCGATCCATAGGTTAAATCGTTGATATACTGTATATTGGTCCCGCGACATTAAAATGATGACAGCATTGTATAATATAAGGTGGTCCAGTGTTTACAAAGCATAGGTTTTCCGCCCATCCTATGGCCTACGTAGGCGAGATCTTGAACGTCGCGCGCTAGGTTAGCCATTGACTAATCCGTTTGTCGATGGTTGGCAGATCAGGGGCTAAGGATTAAACTCGCCATAGGCCACAAGTGCACATCCGAAGCGCCGCGTGACTTCCTGTTGCGTCACATCCTCAAAGCATTCTAATCTCCCGGTCCATTTCCTTTTGCTTTATCCTCGGGATACCTTTGATAAATTTCGAGGACGGTATTACATACTTAGTGATGTCGTTTTCTGTCAATACTATATGAAGTCCGAGCTTTACATATGGCCTGAAGAATACCTACAAACGCATTTTCATGACGTGGCATGTGCACAATGCTCAAAGGTTTGCGAGTAAACGCTAATGATGTTCAGGCGGTGTTGACTTGTTTGACAAAGAGCAGATATAATGCTATCACAACTCAGTCTTACTTTGTAGCGTTTTTTTCTGGGCGCTGATATAGATGATCCAAATTACGTGTAGCTGTTATAAGAAAAAATATTAAAAATCGAATTTGTTTAAAGTAGAGCCGGGTGCTCTAACCCGCGGAGATCTTTCGTGCCCGCGGTTCCACATGGGCTATGCCGATGTTAAAGATGTGACCGAAAAACACTTGTTTTTGGGGGATGGGTGTGCGACATGCGGTTACTCCGTCTTCCGTCTACGTCTAATATGTTCTGTCGGGGTCAGTCTCTCGCGTCATCTCTAGTTTTGTGTCTGACGAGTCCGTCCCCAGCAGCCATATCAGTCTGACGTCTTTCGCCCGTGTGCCCTTGGATTTCCCGCCTCACAAAAGAAGACTAATCGTCTGTGTCGGGGACCAGGCCTGTTCATGACCTTAACTGTCATCAGCACCTCCTCGACTACGAACAAGTGCAGAAATGTGCTACTTGGCTAAAATATGTCACTTGGGGTCAAACGACACTGCTGTTGCAAAATGGCTTGTTGCTAGGATCATAAAGTTGCACAATGCAGATTTCCTTTAACGTAAATGTATTTCTTTAGCTCCGCACAGGAAAGAGTTAATGCAGTCACCAGTCTGGATTTATCTTATTTTTCTTTTTACAGGAGCACACACAGCATTTTACCATTGAAGACGTTACCAGTCACGAGGTATAGTCTACCAGTTTTGACTGGCACAAGTGAACTTACGAGAGCGAGTGCTGAAACCTCCAATAAGAATACGAACTCGGATTTCTATGGTAGAAAAATAGCACTTCAGCTCGAAGCCCCCTTTAGCTTCCCTAAATGATGTTCGAGTATTCGGGCCTAAGTTCTTGGCTTTGGGCTACATATGCTGTTCTACCTGCTGTGAGAATACTATCTGGGACATCGTCATTTATCAAACGTCAACAATGTATGAGAAAATATTCGGGCGCTTTTCTGATTCCGTGGCGATCTTGCGTGTTGTTAATGGGGAAATACCTCCGTTTGGTTTACGCATAGAACCTAAGCTGGCGCATCATTCAGATGAGTGCATTTACTTTCGACAGTCATGATGTAATAGTACTTCCTACATTGACAGTGGAAATATCAAATACATGAACTGCATCCAAGAACTTTTCGGTTTATTTGACCTATAAAGTGTCCAACATGACAGGAACCATTGGTTTTTGTGGTCTAGCCTATGGTCCAAAGAAGCATATCCTTGTAAGCCTTTCGCGTTACCATTACGCGCGAAACCGAAATGGCTAGACCTATAAAACGTATGATTCTTGACATGTCAAACACCCTGTAGAACTGAGCTGCCTTAACCTTAAGCGCGGGGCTTACAATTCTATACCTTTCCAGGCCATAGGTCAGGCGGAAGGACATGGGACGTTACGTATTCCTACGCTTGTGGATGCGAATAGATTACTGCCGCTAAGAAACGTGCATCGCAAGCTGAGTTAATGCCCCAATGCTCAGTGTCTGGTAGCCGGGCGTGATTCGCCTCAACTAGTATCCTGAGAGCGTGGGCACATCTTTTTCTTCAGGCTCTCCTAGCTGCTGATAAAATAAGGTGCCTCCTTCCGTCAGCGCTTGAAACGGCCACGTCAATCAAAGACGTGGCCGTCATACCCGGACAAGCAGCTGCCAGCAGAAAATCGCGAACTGTGATTACGCTGTACAGGCCAGCACGAGTGACATCACGGGATGCCGGAAGCGTCAGCTCAGCCAACAAAGCCACATTTAATAAAGATGATATTCGTATGTGTTGTGTGACGACGACCTGAGGCAGGTGGTTTCTGATTGGCTCCTCAACGCGTACGGCTCCATCTGTACGTGGATATGTAGAAACGCTCCCGGCATCCGTGAGAATCTCCAGGTGGAGCAGCTAGTTTCTCGTATAGAGGGATCTCAAGCCTTCGGTTCCGGTACGTCTCCAGACCAGTCGGTAGGCTTCATGCTAAGGACGACTGACGACTCTATCGCGTAGCTTTGCTACGAGAGGCTCAATATTTCAGCTGCCGAGATAGAGTTCGTTGCCCAGGATCGCGAACACCGAATGATTATTCCTCCGCCTTCTCGACCCGCCATTATTTTATTATCAATACATAGCCATTATGATAGGACAAGCAGTTTCGGAAATGAATGAAGGACTATTCCTCTCTGCCATTATACCCTATTCTAGATCCTGACGCCACGACCTGGAGACGTCTTAACTCCCCTTCGCCAACGGCGCAACCCGCGCCCAGTCAAGGGACGCGTGTGACCAAGAGACAGCGTTGGCAAGAGCGCCATCTGACTGGGATCCAAGAACTACGACAACGACTCACTCTTAGTGATGTGGGAGTCTGGGGAATTCCCGCACTGCTTACTTTATTAGCCTCACAGCTACGTCCTCTCTCTCCAAGGCCATCCTGACCCTTCTTATCTCCTCCTTGGCACCGATCAGTCTAGCTGATATCTCCCACAGTTGGTACACAAGGCTCAAACGTGACATATCTTTCTCACTGGCTGCGCCCACCGAAACCGAACACCTAGCGCATTCCCTATCCATTCTCCCTTCTATTAATAAGTACTAATGCCGATCCAGATACACCTAAGTCACACTGCCTCCTACAGCAATACTTTTGACACGAAAGACATGGAACCGGCCTAGATCTTTGAATACATGAACAATGAGAGATCCCTCCAACAAAGGAAACCTACGAGAAACCTAGCTATATGATGCTGAAGTACAGAAAAACTCTTCCTTCGCCTTTGAGATATGTTTTGACAAATTCGTAGAGCAACATGTCCATAGGCTGCTGATGCTCGGCCAAAAAGACCAGGAAAGAAGCCTGAAAAATGAGGGAAAGAAGAAGGGAAGCCTGTCTGGAAGTTGCCTAAAAGATTAAGTAAATAACGGCGATCAGATTTATCATTTTCACCTCTTATTTCTGCCGTTTCTGTTGATTAAATGCATATTTTCTCTTCGGATGTATTTTCCTGCGTCAGTGTTATGGAGTGGAATCGGAGGACTACTGGAATTCCCGATGACGCTTGAGAGAGCTGAAGTACTTATTCTTGATAAGGATATAGGGAGAAGTCCTGAACGCAAACATTTCAGTCTCTCTGATCCTGGCAAAACCGTCTGTGCAACTAGAAAACATGCAGAAGACTGGAGTAACTTCCCTCTGGGTCCTTCTATTCGCAGGTGGGGTTCACATTCATCTGGAGATGAGATGATCAACTCGATTTTCGAATCCATTCTTTAGTTCTATATGTCTTACTGCAAAGGGAGAACCAATGAAACGGGGGTAGCAAGTATACGTCAATGGGACTTTTCCTTACTCAGAATTCTGATTCTTGGTTCTACGATTGTTACAACTGTGATATAACCTTAGTGGAACGCCCAGACGACTGGATCTTTCCTGATGTTCGCAATTAGTGCGACTGGCCAGATACAGTAGACTGTGGAGATAGACTTCCCAAGTCCATAGGCAATACAACATGTACGTCATTAAAGCTCTGTAACTCATTCATACTTGTCAAAAGCAGAAACTTCCTGGCAGTTCAGGGAATCGTGGAGATGTGTTTTTCTCTAAGTTCGCTGGTTTTCATTTTCATGGATTTGTTACTAGCTGCAATAAGCATTTCCGTTAATTTGTAAAATGATCAGGATTCAACCACCATAATTTTTTTCATCGGCAGCTGCTGGGTGAAACAGAAGAATTCGTCACTACTTTCTTCCTTTCTTTTTCTCCTTTTCCTTCTCTCTCTTGCCCAATTACAAATTCCTGAAGGGGGAAGGCTCACCCTCTGCTCTCCCCAGCAAAGGTTTTTTCTCGGTTATAATCACGTGTTACTTATCTTACTGATCTTTGTCTTCGTTGACAGCCACCGCAAGCGGAATGGCGAGTAACTTCAAACACTTCAAATGTCCTGAACCGGATGGAGTTTTTTCTGACCCTGAATCATGTGATCACTTCTACTATTGCTTTGGCGGAATATCTACCTACAAAGTGAGTTGAACGGCCGTTCATCCGTATTTCCATTGAAAGCCTTCCCACGAATTCATCTCTCGTGTGACTTTCTCCAGGAATGCGCTGATGGTTTTTGGTTCAACAACAAAATCAATCGATGTGACGTCCCCGGCGACTTTTGCACGGCTCTTAAGAAGCACCCCGTATGTCAATCCAATGGCTTTTATTTTTTTTACCCACGTCAACTGTGTGCCATACGATATATTCAAAAGTACTTATCCTATCCTCAACTTGCTCATTCGGTTCACTTACTACTTCCCTGTTCTTTGTGTATTTCCTCAAGGTAATGATTTCCACCGTACAACATAAATACTAATCGTGTATATTTATCAGTACTGTTACTACTCTACATCGATGAAATGTCGATTTAGGTTGCCTCCCTAACGAAATTGCAAAATACTTTGACACGAGTTTAAATAACAAAATATTTGTCAACCTAGGTTGGCGTGTCTAATAATATGAGCCAATCCGTGATGATACAAGAATTATCTCGTGCCAAGTGTCAAAACTAAGGTTTAAAGCTTACCGTAGTTAGACCCTTGTTTCCGGAATTTGATTAAATGCTGTTAATTTTTAATGAGCTGTCATTGGCAGACTTGAATAATGATTCTTGAATGATTCCAATGTTTTGAATTTTATATCCGAGAATTTGTGAAAATATAAACAACAATGCTACAAATCGCTCTACTGATTGTTAGGCATCTTATCTTTCGTGATGAATCTTCTGTGCATGTATGTTTGGACCTCACGAGGAATGCTTTTCGGCAAATACGCAATCAATCCATGCGGAATGCACGAGGAGTAGTTATAAGATAGTCGATTCTGGCCCACTTCTGGTGAAGTCAGAGGACTTTATGCATTTAATCGACTCTTGCGCAATGATACAAAAAAGAAACAAGAATGCACAGTGTAACTCCCGTTCTGACAGCACAAAATGCATTGGTTCCTTGACAGGAAATGAAACAGGAAACTGATTGGACAGAAACTGACTCAATAACCGAACAAACCACAGTACCCGAAGAAACCACAGTACCCGAAGAAACCACAGTATCCGAAGATACCACGACTGGATCCACGGCGCCGACTCCTGCCGATTGGTTCCAAGTAGGTGTCATAGTCTTCTCTACTTGACCATATTGAATCCTTAGAATCGTCAAATGTATTGGATTCTTCATGAGCAAATTTTTCACTTCAGTTAACTCTAATATCGACGACTTATACAAGTACTTAGTGTTGCAAGAATGCGTTCCTCATACAGGGCTTTGCATGAGTTTTGGTCGTGAAAGCCCGTCGTGCCCCCGACGCGTTTTATTCCCGAGTCACATCTGTTCTTACCGGATGCCCCACAAATGTTCCTGAATTTACGAGGCTGTAGAGGCCCAACCAATTGTCTTGGCAGCTCCTTTTTCCTTCAGCAACCCTTTCCAGTTCCGTAAATCGTCCTCGTATTCATTCTGAATGCAATTGGAGGAATGAAATTGACCATACTGGAAACTCTCGGAACACATAATCACTCAAGCAAATTTGAAATTCCTTCTCTCCGGGGATGTTGAGAAAACAGGACCTTATTTTAGATGGAGTGAACTCCATTCCGAAAACCTTTCTTAGAGGTAAGACTCCCATCGGTGGCCTAATTGACCCTTCCGTACGTCGTGGGTTGAGATTGTTTTAGGTCGGAGAGGCTGGCTAAGATCTGACCTGAAGACATTCCGCGGGTTGAGCCTAGACCTGATAGGTCCTGAGGCCTGTTTTGATTTGTAATTAGCTATTGCTAAGTTTATTATAGTATTTATAGTCATTCATTTGTGATATAGACTACTCGTTCGTTGAGGTTAAGGTAACTCACGTGATACCCAAAGACGGAGCAAGGGGAAAGTGGTCAGAAAAGTTTTTCCCATAACGGTTTCGTCAGGAAATTAACAAAGAGGATTTGACGCATAATGGGTTTCACGAACATTTTGAATGAACTTCGTCGCTTAAATCATGGGTACCACATACTTTTTTTTAATGATGCTATGCGAACGAGTGTGCCTGCTCCTTCCTTCCCAGTCGAACTTGATTAGGGCGAGACTGATCTTGTGTAGAGGAAGCAGACACTTCCCTTACAAATAAATTTTACCTGAGGTAAAATTGGGACGATGAAGCTGAGGGAAAAAAAGAAAAGTCGTATAATTCGTCGTATAATTCCCTTCTCTCAACCTGTCAGAAGACCCTTCAGGTAAATATTAGGGGGAAAGCGGTTAAATATAGATGAACGAGGGGGTAACGTTTTGCATGGGGATGCACTCAATTATACGAGGTCTGACAATAAAATAACGAGACTGACAACACTGTAATCCGTGTGGCAACCCTGGGTTACTGGCGATTGCAGTAACCTGTCAGTGCATGTCTTAAGTCTCTGTAGTAACAAACTTGTGATACTTCTAGTGATTGCAGAACAATACCACTTTACCTAAGATAGTGTTAGGGGCACTCGTCAAAAATATGGATATATAAATATGGGTTCATATTATGAACAAAGAATCAACGTGAACTTTCTAATCAAACTCGGGAAAAAACCAACTGAAGTCTTTGAAATGTTGAATTCTCCGTTAAAATCGATCGTACTGTCTCTCTATTGATACACAGTTCTTCGGCAATCATTCTGATAATAAGACGACGATCACTTCGCACCAGAGTTCTCACATTTTCCATGTTTCCATCCGATTTGGAAGTTGTCGGGCGTCCAGGTAGTCCATCAAACTCAACTACTTCCCTTCCTTCAGAAAAGCGTTTACAACATTCAAAGACTTTTTGCTCTGGACATAACCTCATCTCCGTACACTTGTTTCAACACTTCAAAGACTTCAGTTGGTTTTTTTCTCGAGTTTGATACGAAATTTCACGTTGATTCTTTGTTCATAATATTATCACCCATTTTTTTACGAGTGCCCCTGACACTACCTTAGGTAAAGTGGTATTGCTCTGCAATCACTAGAAGTATCACAAGTTTGTTACTGCAGAGACTTAAGACATGCACAGACAGGTTACAGCAATCGCCAGTAACCCAGGGTTGCCACGCGGATTACAGTGTTGTCAGTCTCATTATTTTATTGTCAGACCTCATATTCGCTTCTTTGATGGAGTGAAAGCTGTTACTTTGCAATTTGTTGGAGACTAATACTATCTAATAAAAATTAACATTGGATCACCCAAACATGTTGCTCGTTTGACCTTGTAAATTTTGTGCCGATACCTACTGAGATATAAATATTTCGTCTGCTGCCATATACTGTACATTTCGGAACTTTTTTGGGCCAATTGCCATTACTCATTTGATCTTTTCTCGTAAAAAAAATTATGTATGTGTCCTTGCTGTCTTTTCAAACCTTCCAAACCCCTATAGCCTGTATAAGTAGCCATGTATATAAAATCAGCTTCCCTACAGTTTATTAATCTCCGTGAGAGTTCTTATTTCAGAAAATAAACATGGTCATGAGACAGTTTCTGATTATGATAATATTTGTTCCTTTACTTGTTCCTTTGGATAGTTGATGATATAATGAGTATATTGGACGTGCCTTGTGAACTGTTTTTTCTATTCAAATTCCAGTCCCAATCACCGCAATATGCATATGAAGTTATCTTGTACTGCGGGTTATGGCTTCTAAAATCAGCAAATGACAATGAAATGTGTTCCATAGGTTGTACGTCATGTGGTTTTCTTTTTTCAGTGCCTTCAAGATGGATTTTACCCAAATCCCTACGACTGTCATAGCTACATCTTGTGCTCCGGGGGAAACGCCTGGGTGCAATACTGTCCAGCCAATCTCGTCTGGGATCCGAACGAGCAACTTTGTCTGCCAGAAGATGAGGATACTCCCTGTATAGAAAGCACAGCGAGTTAGTTTCCGCTCTTCCTCTAGATCGATCGGGGGCTGATGCGCTGAGGAAGGATTCAGCAGTAAACTAACATATGTTGACTTCCAGGAACATCTGAAAGCATATCAGGGAAGACATCACGCATGCAAAATGTGTCAATGTGCTTTCTTAGATGTACTTTCAGGGGTTTCTGCTCGATTTTTTTTTACAGTGTAGGGTCAACTTAACGCTAATTTCAGCTAGCGGACACTAACTAACTGGCAAAATCTTATCGAAAGTCCATGGCAAAGAGGGCTTTATTTTATTTTAAGGAGACATTTGTTTCAAATCGTTACAAATTCGGTCGGTATGATGCGCTGAGTATGCCGTTCCTTGTTCGAGGTACACTTCTCATAATAAAAAAATTTAAGTCACGTATTTTCAGCCTCAAAACTATACTGTATAACCAGTTCAGGCATTGAGAACTGTAACGCTGGTCATTCAACACTTTATGACCAGATCTACCCACTCAAACCTCTTCATTTACTCATTCTTTGAAAGCTTGAAGCCTTCTTTGCAAGCCAAACTGATAACATTTCAAATAGTTCCAAATATCCTCGCCAGACAAAAGCAAAAAGCAAGCACTACACTTTGCGTGTCATGCGCGTCACTCCGTGGCATGTGATTTTCCCGTCATGATGTACACTGTACGACACTGTGTTTAAGGGTTAACACGAAAGAAGCAAAAAAGTTGAAAACCTTTATATTTGCGATTTAGTCATCCCTGGTTCATATTCGGCTCACCAAAAATTCGCGCAGAGTAGATGTTCATCCTTCAACAGATTACGTACATAGTTATGTTGTTTTTTTTTATACTTATTTTGCTCATGAATTACTTCATGAGCAAAATATGTCTTAACAATTTGAACTGTTTTCTGTCTCTTTTCGATTGGGCACAAGGTGAGCGAAAGGGTTAATGAAAAGAATGGTGTTTCTTCCCCGCCAACGCGCAGGTCCGACAATTGGACCCACGGAGGAGCCACCTACTCCCGATCCAAACTTTCAATGTCCAGATGATGGACTATTTCCATACCCACAAGATTGCCATTTTTACTACCAGTGCTCGAATGGCTTCTCTTCCTTGAAATGGTGCGGCGCTAACCTCGTATTCGACCCAGTGGACATGATTTGCGATTACTTGGAGAATGTTGATCCGGACACCTTGGATTGCACTGTGAGACACCTTAACCTCTTCATTACAAGATGCCATAATGCTTGGAAAATAATGTGATGCCCGTTTCTGATTGTAGATGTTCGTGGAGGAGGAAGAAACAGGCAAGGGCAAAAAGGACGCGAGACTATCACTGAAATTCGTACAGGAAATCTTCCAAGAAATGTATGAGACGAAGCAGAGAGAAGCTCTGAGATTGAACCAGCCTCTGAGTCAAATCCACATCCCTCACTTTGTTCAGTCGCATTACCGAGCTTCGAAGAAAATCCCGCCCAGCGTTTGGAGGGGGGCACGAAATCCGAAGGCCTAACTTTGGATTGTGTTTTTTTCTCAATTAACTGGCCTGTATTCAATATTAAAAATATATGTTCTCGACGTTTCCTCTCTCTACTCGAGCAAGAAACCCACAGTGTGTCCATTATTCCATCGGACAATGATATATAATGATATTAGAGATTAATTTAATACACTCTAGAGGAGTATTTTTCTGATTAGCCTTTTCTGATTCTTCCTTTCATTATCGTATAAGACGTCGTTCATGTAATTGTTGCAATGCAGACCTATGTTCTTTTGAGCTAGTGCCATCACATTTTAATCTCTCTTTCCATGGTTCTCGTAGCGTTCGTTTTGGATATATTTAGTATGGTTCTCACGAAACTCGTATCAAAAGAATCGTCAGAAGTTCAGAATTGGAGACCCACATGGTCTCAATTTATCATTCAATACCAAGGTGTCATACATTAGAAGTCAGGGCAATGAGTGGTAAAAAGTATCCCTTGCCCCCGGGGAGGGGCATTTGCCATCCCCAAACCCCGATTCCCACGCCTTTGACAGTTGATGTAGTTGGAATCTGCAACTTTAGTTCCTACACTGGCCCCTTGTCACAGGCCGGAAGTTTTGATGCGGCTTCAATGCATCGCATGGAGGACAATTTAATGCATTTAATTTTGCGTGCTTCTATATGAACTTTAACATGGTTGTCCGCGACGCCCTTTGAACACTCTGGCAGCGCTTTTTGCTCACTTGATGGCGGTGGTGTTAAGAGTGACGGAGAAGAATGTGGAGGTACTCGTATAATCGAGTGTGAAAGAGGTTATACAGCGAGTAGAGCGAGAGGGATGAGAACATTTGACGTGAATGGAGGAGGATAATTGGACCGTGTGCAGGTCCAATCACCGGATGGGGAAGTGTTTCTTGTAGTTCTCGATTATGAATGCAATTTTTATTGGAGTTGATTCGTGTTCTGATTCAAAGTTGATTATGAAGTATGCATGAAGACCGAGATACTCTACCATGTCCATTACAATAAGCAACAAGAGCTAGTTGGATCGTGTAAGACTGGTCAGTGACCAGCTAACCTTTTCCCTAAACCGATGACTGTCTTGAATTTTTTCCCAGTGGACTCTCCACATGCTTTCACGCCGTGAAAGCTTGTGGCACATTATCTCTTTGGGAATGCGAAATGGTTCCCCCCTGTCAAGTCAAGTTCTTGTGTTGGGGTAGGGACATTATATGCAAAAATATACATGCAAGAACTCTGAGTTGCGCTGTGTTACAGTTTGAAGGAAATGGCCTATTCATCCCTGGAACCTACTCCACTTCCTCGACAGCATTGAACCACGTACAACAATTGTGCCCCATTCTACGTAGTACAATTGACGAGATGGAGAGAAAGGACCTATGCATACGCCTCATGCATCATCGGGCAATTACCACCAGTTCAGACCTCTAAAATGAAATTTAGCAGCTATTGGTTTCACTCCTTTGCTTGTATTGGGCCTCAAGCCAGGAATAATTTGAAATGAGTAAAATTGCATATCGTGAGCGATTCCACGGAGATGTAGCACCAATTAGCGGTTGTTATGATCTTGTACTATTGACTTGATCTCATATGAATATTTTACCATCAACCTTTCGGGGCGAGAGGTCAGATTTCACATATAAAAAGCTGAGAGGAAAATTTGGAGCTCTCCTTAACCCTCAACTGGTATTCTTTTTTCTCATTGTGTAACTGGTTTCGTGGGGTTATTTCACCCCGGCAATACAAATCTCTATAAAATGAAGCTTCTTGTTTAGAAGAAGAATAATTTATAATGGACGTTTCCCGCCTACCTTCACTACAATGAAGCAGCATGGTGGTAGCAAATTCCTAGGACAAACCCTGGGATCGATAATTGCCAAATAAGATTAATTGCAAAAGAAGCATCATATGTTAATTCTCCTGAAGCTGCATTTCGTGAAAATGCCACGAGAATGTATTCCTCTTAACACATGTATGGTATACCTTGTGTATCTGTCGCATTTGACTTTATTACCACATTTGACCGAGAAAACCTAGTTCACCTAAAGGAGGATGCCATGAAGAGGTACATGAACCGGTACCTCCGCAACACTTCTTCAGGGGAGTACAGCCCCGAGGGGTTCAGTCGATCACGGAACACAGGCATCAAGTTCAAGTTCTTCAGCTGGGTTCGGGCTCCCATTGACTGAGTCGCTGCTGATTCACTTTGCTTTTTATAGCCACGGAAAGATTTCGTAATAAATGTAAGTAAATAAATAATAAAAACACCGTCCGTGGACATCCGTGAAGTGGTATGCTCCTCCTCAGTGCTAATTGAGGTTTAAAGTAGGGTCATCGTAGCATGAAATTAATGCGGAATTTAATGCTGCATTTGGCTAAAAAAATATTTTTTTACATGGAGTCCATATTAAAAATCGCAGCTTAAGTAGCTTTAAATACACCGCTTATGGAAGTTTAAAGCTAGCATTACGCTCAAGTCACTTTTATGCAATCCATCCCAGGAGTTTAGGAAACATGAACAGGTTTTCTGCATTATTTCCTGCCCTTTCGTTGTTGACGTGGATGCTGGACCTGAGGAATTGCAAACGGAGATGGTGCATCTCCAGTAAAACACAGACTTGAAGGCCAAATTCCGTGACACCCTTCTCACACGATTTCATCAGGCTCATGCACTCAAGAAACACTTTCCCCGCCTCATCGGTCATGTCTAGAGGATGATGTCTCTTTTCGGGAGCACCTGTCGGTGCGAACGGCTGTACTCGAAGGTAAGCCAGCCGAAATCCAAGATAAGCCGACTGGCGGGAAAACATTTCCAAGGTTGTCTGCGAGTGGCTAATTCTAGCCTTAAATCCGACATCGACTCACTGATCCAGCAGAAACAGTGCCAAGTTTCGCACTAATTAAGGCAAGACTGAGAAGTAAATCAAATTTAATTATTAAACCCTTGAGCGCATCGACTGCTTTAAAGCGTGAGGCTAACGCGCGAAACTAAATATTAATACTATCCCTTTATGGGCGAAAGGCTTGGGCATAAGCGACAAGCTAAAAAAAAAATCCACAGTTAATGTATTAATAAAGATCTAGTAATGAAAAAGCAAAATGTGTTCCCTAAAATTTACAGAAAAACGAGTTTGGGAGAGAAAGAGGGGAACCTCTTCTTTTGCATCCGATGGCCCGCGTCGAGTCAGACATATCTCGTACATGCGGCCCATTGACACTCCTGCCCCATATACGAGGGCTTTCTTCCTCGTGTAGCAAAGACAAGCAAGAGCATGAATGTTTCATCTGAATGTTGAATTCGTAGTCATGAAAATCTCAGGACGAGCTCAGGCCTCCAGATTTCCTGCTCCCCTTCAGACGCTCGGTGGAATTTTTTTTCGAGGCCCGGTTGTGTGGCTGGACAAAATGTTGAAGGCGGATCAGAGGCTAGTTCAATATCAGAGCTTGTCTCTGCTTCATCTCGTAGGTTTTTTGAAGATCTCCTGCATGAGTTTCATAGACAATCTCCCCGTCTTTTTGCTCTCGCCAGTCTTTTCCTTCTCCATAAACATCTGCAATAAGACATGCATCAGGATACATTCCAAACAATAAACCATCTTGAAATAAGGAGTTTTATGTGTCTCACCTCACAATCCAAAGTTTCCGGATCGACATTCTGGACGTGTTCCCAAATCTTCTTCACAGGGTCAAATATGAGGTTAGCACCGCAACATTTCAGAGAAGGGAAGCCATTCGAGCCCTGGTAGTGTGGGTACGGGAATAGTCCAATAATCCATCGTCTTCTGGACAATCGTAGCCTGGGTCGGTGGATCCTCCGTGGGACCCATGGTCGGTTTTGCGCCTGGGGAGGGGGGGGGGGAGGAGGAACGCACAATTCCTTGATTAGCCCTTTCGCCCACCTTGTGCCGTATTTGCGCGGGGACTTGAAACGTCTTTAAATTATGTTAACCGTGATTCGTGCTTGAAGTCATTATATTCTTGGGTACATGAGAAGTACAAGACTGTCCACTAATTCACGTACAGCGGGAGGGAAACAACGGTTTTAATTTGTTTCCCAAAAACTGGGTTTCACGTGAACGAGTAATATTTTAGCATTCACAAATTTCAGAGATGTAGATGTACTATTCCGATGGGCACAAAATGAAGACATCCGAAGAACGAACATACGAGACATGCACAGGGCGTAGGATTCGGCACCGTTCATTCAGTCCTAATAGTTTTAGAGTGACTTTTATATTTGACTCGGGCATTCGTGCACGAACGTCCAACTCGAGCAAAAAGTAGTACGCTCGGCTGCTGTCGTATGCCCTGAGATCGTTCTAGTTTCCGGCTTCATTATCTATCATTGACAAAACTTCAACCCCCTTGTAAAAGAAGTTTCTGTTTATATTTCACTGTGCTTTCTAACTTCTTTTCTTCATACCCTGCCGGATAAAAGTATTTTCTGCCATCACCAGGTGCATCGCAGAAATAATTTTACCACCAGACCCGCTTGTATTTAATGGTTGCAAGTTGCTAATCGGAGAAGCTATTTTACGCCGTGGTTCACCTTCATTTTTATTCACGGTTTTCTGATTTATAAAAGCAGGAAATGCCGCAGAAGAATTATTCATGCAGCACCAAACTGAAGACATAAAAGACAAGGAATGAAAGGTTCCATAAATCAACATCGTTGAAATAGGAACTTACAAAACTGATCACAGATATTGGGATTTGAAGTCTGCCTTTTATACTACTTTGTCTAAAAGCCCGTGCGCTCACGGGCTGAAATAAATGGAATAAGAACATCTCGTGCATGACTTTCTGCTCTTTCTTCGTCAGTTTCACTGTTCCTGGAAGCATCCTGCGAAGCAGCGTTTTGTGAACGTCGTCATACACTTTCATCCACTGACTGTGACTCCATAACTTCTCTCTTTCTGGCACGCTCAGTAGATCCCGCTACAGAATAGTTGGGACTTCCCCACTTTTTCGAGGCATTTTGAGAACGCCATCATTTAAAAAATAATAATATTGGAGCAACAACTTAATGCAGGAAACATACTCGAAGCACTGTCTGAAACCGGCGACGGAACTAGTAACGCGACAAAATGTGACATATGATCATTGCCAGCAGTTACGATAGCAACAACTTCCGCAGGAAGGCATTCAGTACGATGCAATTCTTATCGTTGGAATTCATCAT